CAGTACCTCCTGTAGCTCTGAGACCGAGACCCAAATCTTTAACTTGGCCACAAGGCCCTGCCCCTCTCCTGTGCCTTCTGTGCCATGCTGGCTTTCTTGCAGCTCCGTACAAGGGCCTTTCACCTGCACCTTTTGCATTTATTGTCCTGAGTTAACTCCTCCAGCCTCCAGACATTGGGCACTAACTGAGGAATTTGGAGATCAATAGCCAGTCCTGCTTCAGTGAACTCACAATTTAGTTGGGGGGAAATTGCATAAATTGAAGCAAAACCTGTAGGTACACATTTTGGGCATATATTCTAGTATTATAATAGAAATATGTCAAAGGGACTTTGGGAACACAGAGAAGAGACAGTTTGGAGATGCAACTCTATCAAAAGTGACAATGATGGGAAAGCAATGACTTACTTTCCTTTTGGGAATCTTGTCTTCCTTTAAAAGTGTGTATTTTTTTCCTGTGAGAGAAAGAAAAATAAATTGGTTGTTTCAATATTCAGAAATTCTGGAAGGAAATTATATGAACCTATGAAACTTATTTTTAATTCTTCATTTTGTTAAAGTTGTATGCCTTTTTTCATACCTCCTCAACATAGAGGAATTAGAGGATAAAAAAGAAGAGAAAATGAAAGATGAGGCCAAATAGAAATACATTCCTTTGTGCCTCTGTCTCTTTCTCTCTCTCTCTCTCTCGCCCCTTCCTTTTCTGAATCTGTTATGGAATTGATTTATAGACAAAGAACTATGGTGATACCATAGGTTACTCTTGGAGAATTTTTTCTGGGACAAAGTTTTAGTTTATATCATGTGAGTGAAAGAGCCAGGGTTATTTTCAATCCCTATACTAATCTATAATCTCCAAACAAACAAACAAACAAACAAACACATCTCATAAAAGCACACCATATAGAACACCTCCAGTAAAATGCAATATAAATGTAATGACAGCCTATTATCATCTCAGGAGCCAAGGACAGCATCTGCTGTAAGGATGACCGGATGTCCTGGTTTGCTCAAACAGTCTGGTTAATTAAGTTATCATCAATCACTTAGTGATCATTAACTTAAATCATTACATTTTAAAATCGTGAGCATTACTTTGACTCTCGAAGGTGTCCCAGTTTGGGTGATAAATTATATGATTATTGGGACTATAAATTCTTTGTGCGAGGGACAGAATTGTGTCTGCAGATGCAGACTCTGGGATTTGCAGTGTGGAAGAAGAGTCTCTGTGTTAGCCAGTTTCATCCTTGCTGCTGAGGCTTTCCCGTTTGAGGACAGCATGCCCCTCTGAAACTATTGTTCCTCTTTCTCACCAAACTTGAAGGGTTGCTTCTCTGATTGACTCTCAGGTGATGTGTCTGGGTAGGAATAGGCTTCCACTGTAACCACAGACAGCCGGGAGTTCGCAGGTAACTTACGGCAAATACCACACTGAAACCACTGTTAGGGAAATAACTCCTGCAAACGGCTCTCCACTCACCACGGGAGGCAGCAACACCCTTCAGCGATGTGGCGATCCCAGCATCTAAAATACCCAAGAGAGATGACACAAACTGCAAGACTGGTTTCTGCAGCTTTGTTAAGGTCACTCCCTCCCCTTGGCCATTTCCGTGGAAACCTTTTTTTTTTCCCCCAAGTGAGCATGCACCGTAGGTGACTTGGACTTGTCTCTCACGATAGAATGCCTTCTTCCTCCTATCAATTCCTCAGCAGGGGAAAAACCTTCTGCTGTATTCTCAGCAAGGAGAAAATGTTTTCTTATCCCCATTCCTAGTGATTTACTTGGTTCCCTTGTGATGAAGATCACATAAGGGTTATCTCCAGGAAATCAAGGTACAAGTTTGTGGACATTTTAGAAATCATTTCTTTCAGGTATGGGTTAGGCAATATCTGTGTAGGATTTCACTGCATTTTGAATTTCTCTTATTTACACTATATTGTAATTGTCTGCTCATTTGTCATTAGAATGTGAGCTTCACATGTTGGGGACCTTATTTATCTCATTCATCATGGTATGTATCACTAGCATATACCACAAAGTCCAACACACAGTAAATATATATATATATATATTTTGTCTTTTTCCGTGTCCGGCAACGGATCGCAACCCTCAGTGTTGCCCCCGTACCGGACCGGCGACCGGAAGACTTAGAATCTGTCTGCAGTCAGACATCTCGGTTAAAGTCTAAGTATCATTCTGTGCATCTTTTTGAGTTTGAGACATAGTCAACTACCTACATTGTTGAATGTGAAAACCCTTTATAAAGTACTCCATGTACCAGTTACAGTATGTAAAAACATTTGGAAAACACTATCCAAAAGTGGTTCTTCCAGTGAGCTTTCCCACAGAGTTCCCTCAGAAGGGGCGGTGGAAGAGGGGCTGACTGTGCATGACCTTGGCTGTGGTCACTGGCTCAGCTGAGTGTTCCGACAGCCTTGAGGACCTGTGCATCATCAGAGCCTTTGGGGCTGAGGGACATGGCTTCAGTGCTTCTTCTTCTCCAGGCTACTTTTAGTGCTCTTTAAGACATATGCTTACATCTCCTGCTTTGTTGTTAAAGAAACACCATAAGGAAACAACTGAATCACACCAATGCTAAGAAACCAGGTTCATTGAGGAGACATGGGAGTGAGATGAAAAGAGATGCTGATTTTGAGTTATAGGATCAATATCTCTGAACTCCT